TAATATGATGACATCTCATGTTTTGATTATGTGCATGCACGAAATGCCACGTTGCATCATGACAAAGAGTTTTTTGATACACAATCCATAGATGATGTTATGAATGATGAATGTATGAAGGTTTATGCAAGCATGTTACCTAGAGAGTAATATGTGAAGGATATGTGAAGTTGTGTCACATGAATGATTTAAGATGAACTATAGGACCTCACGCATATTGTATGTTCATTTACATCAGGTTACTTTCCATTTTATGAGATATGAGATGAGTACGGACATGTACACTATGATGATGATGATCATCATCATGCCTTGCATGATATTCGAAGGTTTGTTGTGCCTCCAGATGTTCAGCTAAAACCAACTAGCCCAACTATAATGGGTCAGGGGGTGTGCGAGCCGCTGGTAGAATCATGCTCGAATGTGTTGGTCATGTATAAGAAAGTACTACACATTCAATGCCTGGACAGGTGACTCGTCCAAGGTCTGCCCAAAGTGGTAGAACCTACGTCATAAATTGTGGTAGTGGGGGCATGCGTTCGCTCGGCCTCTTCCAATGTCCTTCGTTTTTAGCGTTTGGATGTTTTCACCAGATTTTTATTTTGTATGCTTTTATGTTGTAACTATATGATTAGGTGAACTAAATTTTGATTGAGAGTTTTAGGGTCTTATCTATATCCTTGTGGGAATAGTGTGAATGGCGGTTGAATCCAACCCATTTTTTATTCTTGGAACCAACAACCTTGCTTTTACCTATAAACCAACAACCTTGCTTTTACCTAAAAAAATAAATATTTAATATTACTTGAAAAATAGTGTATTTTAAGTATGCGACAATATCATGAATCATGAATGGGACCTACGGCTGCTATCCTAATAATAGACTTGGATGTATACTTAGTTTTCCTACACATTGTCTACCTATTAGTCGGTTTGCACATTCCCTTGGCTCCTTTCTAGTCGGGCGAGCATTCTCTGGTAGCTGTTGATGCCAAACACCTCTTAGGAGTAGCGATCATCACGGCAGTATTATGATAAACATAATGATCGTTTTCTTGTCTCGTAGCGTACGCGTTCGTACTATCCCCCGATGCATGAGCACACAATAATGCATGAGGTTCCAACATTTTTCCCTTTTCATTATCATTTAATACAACCCTTGATATGAACCAAAAGGCATCAATCATACAATATACTTCAATGAAGATGTGAAGAAAAGGTTGTCAAAATTATCCAAAGGTGTTCAATTCATGCCGCATTGAAGAAGAAAGAAGTTTGGTTGTTATAAATTTTGGGTGGGTTATAATTTAGAGTAATTTAGAGTTATTATATTTTAAGACATTTTATTTACCTTAGGTTACATTTACATAATGGCTAATTATGGGCATTAAGGATGAATGTTACAACTCTTGGAATGCCTTTAGTGGTTTCATTTTGAGACTATATAAAGCCATATATGTTTGTTTTTGTAAGGGACTTAAAAAAATATAGTAAAAGAAGCATTTGTGCTCTTCTTTAGCCAATGGCTAAGTTTCTTTGCAATTCTATGTAGTTTAAGGTTGCATGTAGAATCATTCAAGCTCGACATGATCAATCTTGCTTGCGGAGTGGTTCGAATCTCAAGCAAGTGTTCTTGCCTTGAGATATTTGATCAACAAGAATCATTCAAGCTAGACATGATCGATCTTGCTTGTGGAGTGATTCGAATCTCAAACAATGTTCTTGCCTTGAGATATTCGATCAACAAGGTAATCCGAATCTTACTCCCCTTGTAGTGGTTCCATATCTTATCAACCCTGGTAGTGTCTTCTTCATATCATTTATCAAAACTTTCATGCGTATGCCGGGGTTGTATTTTGTGTTAGCTCATTGTTTTGCATGTCAATCATATCATATTATTCATGTCCTACATATTGATATCATAATATTTTCATGCTTTCAAACATAACAATCCACATCATGCACATAACATATCATATATCATAACAGTCACATAACATATTTCGAGCATGTCTTCAACGTATCATATCTTAATATATCATTCATAAAATATAAATTCATCAAATACAACATAACAATTACATATCATAACATATACATATCAATTCATAACAATAATTATTGCGTGTGGGTGTACATAGATACCCAATTTAGATCGACCCGAAGTCCACAATCTTTGTCTTCCTTACCCGGTTCACGCGATTTTTCCAACAAAATTTCTCTCCTTTGAAACGATGCTTCGGTATCCGTTTCTCGCCGTTTTTCCTTAGGTTCTTCGTCGTTGACTCTTCCTCTTCACCTCCCACGTTGTATTATGGATAGTAGACACCTATAACGCATAGATCTATTAGCCTCTAAAATCCAAAATTCAAATCTTCTTTTCCGATGACGAATCATGTTGTTAAGGTGTGAAAGCTTACGTTCTACACACATATAATCCTTGGTGATCCCTTTCACAGTGTCGGTTGGTTGTTTCGATGTCAGATATGTGGAATTTGTTAGATGATGAAAGTCCCACATGATTCAGGGAATGATCATGGGTTTATAAGTGAGGAATACTAACTCTATTGGTACAAGGCCCTTTGGGAAGCCCAATGCAAAGCTATGAGAGCTTATGCTCAAAGTGGACAATATCATACCATTGTGGAGAGTCGTGTTACTCTAACATGGTATCAGACTCATGCCCTAAACTTAGTCGAGCCAATAGATTGGTAAATCTTCAAACATCGAACAAAGAACAAAGGAGTCATCGAAGGCAGTCAAAAATGACTTGAGTTTATGGAGAGTCATTGCCAGATCATGTGGTCCTTACAAGTTAGAGCTAAGAACAATTAATTAATTACTTAAGATGAGTTAACTTAGGTAAGTAAAAAGTTGATTTTCCATAATTATAACTAATTTCTTAATTGATTGTTTATAATCAATTTCTAACATGTATTTTGATTTTTGAAATATTGCATGTAAAATTAGTTCTTCAATTTAGTTAATGTACTGATTATTTATAATGGAAAGTTCATGCAATTTAAGCAAAATCATTTCTTTACTATATTTTAAATGTGGAATTTATTTTAAATGGGCTTTTATCATAACTGTGACTTAAGTTTGACTTTTATTACCTCATGAATAACGAGTACAAGAGAAAGAAAGGGAAAACAACTCTGAAATAAATGTTCTATACTAACTTATGGTTTATTAATGCGATTACAATTCAACCTATAATAATGATACAAACGGGAATTCCAACTTATACTAACATATACTATGAATGCAAATGAAATTCAACCTATACTAATCTATACTACGAATGGAGAACAACTATCCTATGCATGTGTCACGATCTCGGGATGTGTGATGTTGCCGTCGGTCTCACATTGGTGCTTTGCCTTTATCTGAAAATGTGGTAGCACGAGGCTTGAGTATTTCTAGAATACTTAGTAAGTGACCCCCTATCGGGTTACGCAACAATCATATGCAAATGAGATGATGAAACCTATCTTTCAATTTATATTCCTACGGTGATGTCCTAACGGGTAATTTGGATGTGTACCATATATACTACACACAGCCCATACATGCGAGCATGGGCTCACCAGTCAGTTCGCACACCGCTGTGCCACTTTTCTTGTTAGGCGAACATACTCTGGGAGCTCCTTAGGCCGGACACCCGTTAAAACTAGTAACCGTCACGACAGCGCTATGCAAAACATAACGAACGTCCCCTTCCATTGGGTGTACGCGTCCGTACCCTCGTGATGGAATAGGGGTATCCCTCATGCATGAGCACACAAAATGCATGAGCTCCCAAATATTTCTACTTTTATCATTAATGAATATAACGCCGCTATCATCTTTCATGCTTAACATGTCATTTCTCATTTTTCAGTCTACGTATCATACATAATTCTAACGGGGTTACATTTCATGCAATTTATCGCGATTTCATGTCATACATTACATGCGGTTTATATTCAAAATTATAGTACCATTCATGCCAGAATCATCCAGACACATCATAAACGTCATCAGCATAGCACCCCACATCATACTAAACAACATCCATTCACATTTCACAAGCGTACTTAATCAAGTATAACAGTCTAGCATACAATTTAATGACACATGCGAATCCACGGGCAAGTGCCAACATACAACATACAACGCGTAACCTACGACAGGTGAGCCACTTACTTGGTAGGCCTTAGCTGAAATATTCCCTAAAATATAAACGTAAGCTCCTAGCTCCTCGTATACATCTTGCGCTTCCGTTGGTGGTTGGTACTTATTGGATCATTCGACAACTTCGTTAGTATTTCACAAACATAATTAATTTCCAACTTGAATTTATGAAATAGGGCCTTAAAATGATATATTTTACCTTAAACGAGGTCGAAATCAAGTTCCGGAGAGTCAGAACCATGCCAAATAGGTCGAAAATAGGTTTTCCGAGTCGAATAAGCCGCTAGAGCCGAGGGGGTGTCGCGCTGCAGACATGCCACGTGACACAACCAGAGGGCGACGCGTGTGTAACAGTCTCGGGTCAAGGCGCGGGTCATTAGGTCAAGCGCGCGGGTTGTCGGGCAGGTCGAACTCTGGATGCGGGTTCTGGTTGTGATGGGCTGCAGGGTTTTGGTTGCGGTGGGTTGGGCTTTATCGCGATTTGGGCTGCGGTTTGTTTCGGTGGGCCGAGGGTTGAATCGGAGATCGGGTCGGACTTCGTCTTCCTCGCCCGATTATCAGAGATTTTTTCCAGCGACTCTCTCTCTCTCCTCGGTCACGTCGTTCCGACGTCATTTTTCCTCCTTTTTCCTTCGTTTCCGAGTCTCCTCCTTCCCCTAATCCCATTTATGGTGTTTGTTTGGTTCGTAAGGGCCTAACACTCTCGGATCTAAGAGGGTCCGAAAATTCGACGTTCTGCATTTGCCCTTTGTCCCATATCGGAGAATTTCAAGAAGGCAGTTGGGATGGTGGATATAAAAACTATGCCAGGCACGGGTTACAACTTACTTATCTGGACGGGGTAATTATGCGACCAGTAAGGCCCATTGCCTGGACAGGTGACCTTCATTGAACTCGAAGGAGGGGTGCCCGTCCAAGGTCTGCCCAAAGTGTTAGAGCCTACGTCATAATATTTCTGGCAGTTGCGGCCTTCCAATGGCGTAAGTTCTAAGCATTGTGGATATGTCATTGTCCTGGTACTTTTACTATAATTACGTCATAAATAACTCGTCGATTCCTTGAAATTAATGAGTTGTCTCGATGTTTTGGTATAAATCGAAACAAGCTTTCTAATGATGACACGGTTAGCAGTCTTCCGGTTTAAGAAAAATGATAGGAAATGAGGACACTTTTCAAGGAAAGACTTGGGTCAACCTTCGCCTCACTATTAGAAGTTTGAGAGTGGGCTTTATTTAAGCTCCTCTCGGTGAAAAGCTAGATTGGGGATTGAATCGGATCTGTTTTTTTTTTCTCGTTCATTGTTAGGGATGGGAAATCAAATCCATTTTGTTTTTGGGTCTCATAAACGGCAAAAATGGTAGTTCAACTAAAGCTATTAAATGCAAATCGAAGAATACGAGACCTAAGAATCGCAGTGCACTCTAGAACAAAAAGGGGCCGCTTGACAAGTTTCAACGTCTCAAACTCCGAAGATGTGTAATCTAGACAACATGTGTTCACAATTTGTATACATTTTTTTTTCCGTCATCCTTCAAACTACATTGCTTTAGTGGTATCCTATTTGAGAGTTTTTATCCATCTATTATGCATGTTAGGAACTCATTCACGAACTTCAGCCTCAACAAAAGAATTTGCACAACTTTCATGAAGTAAACAAAACTTGAAAACCACTAGAAGTCGAGAAGTCATGAATTGATGCAAGGAATCGTGATTTTTAGATTTTCAATTCAACTTATACAGAAAAAATGGAACCACAATCTTATACCAATGTATTTCTACAAGTGTAAATGTAACAACAGTGAAAAAAACAATAAATAAATAAAAATAGTAATCCTTCCCCAAACCTCTCTCCAACCTACAATATAAGTATTTACACGGAGATACTGCAAATATATTTGATAGGTGTGAATTGCTTATGAAACGATATGACTATGATATGTATATGTTATGATATGTGAATGATATGATAATTCTGTGGTATGATGCATTCAATAATATGTTTGAGGTAGAATATAAGAAGGATGCGATAAACATAATGTAACGATATGACTAAGATATGTTCATAAAACGATATGGTTAGGTTATGTATAGAAAACGATATGGTTAGGATACGTTCATGCAATGTTATGACTAGGATACATTCACGAAACGAGAAACGATATGACTGATACGTTTGGAAAATGTTATGACTAAAATATGTTCATGAGACGATACGACTATGATATGTATAAGAGCGATAAGACTATGACAAGTTTAAGAAACGATATGACTATGATACGTTTGGAAAATGTTATGACTAAGATATGTTCATGAAATGATACGACTATGACAAGTTTAAGAAACGATATGACTATGATACGTTTGGAAAATGTTATGACTAAGATATGTTCATGAAACGATACGACTATGATATGTATAAGAACGATAAGACTATGATAAGTTTAAGAAATGATATGATTAGGATATGCATATGGAACAATATGACTATAAAGTATTTACGAAATGATATAACTATGATATGAAATGAGAATGATGTATATATATATATATATGTTATGATATGATAGGAGAATGATATGATATATGTTATGGTATGATATGTTTGATGAATTGATATATTTAAGAATGATATGTTGAAGGCATGCTCGGGATATGCTATGTGATTGTTATGATATATGAAATGATATGATATGTGCATGATGAGAATTGTTATGTCTAGAAGCATAAAAAAAAAATATGACGTGTCATATGTGTGTAATATGAATGATATGATACGATTGACATGCAAAATGACGAACTAGCATGAAATACAACCCGACACGCATGAAAGTTATGATAAATGATATGGCAAAATGATATGATATGAAGGAAGACGCTAGTGGGGTTTTAGTATATGATAATGAAAATGGAAAATATTGGGATCTCATACATTATTGTGTGCTCATGCATCGGAGGATACCTCTTCTCCTTCATGATACTATGGACGCATATGCTATGAGGAAGGGAAAACGATCATTATGTTTATCATAATGTTGTCATGACGGTCGTTATTCTTAACAGGTGTATAGCATCAATAGCTATAGAGAATGCTCGCTCGACCAGAAAGAGGCCCAGAAGGTGTACAAACCGACTGGTGGGTCCATACTCGCACGTGTGGACCTTGTGTAGGAAAATTAAGTACACATCCAATTGCTTGTATGGATAGTCGTCATAGGAAAATAAGTTGTTATGATAGGTTTCACTCATGATTGTGTGTGTTTGCATCTAACCTCAATAGTGGGGTCACTTACTGGGTATTTCTTAAAATAAAAGTCACGTGCTACTTCCATTTCAAGTGAAGGCAAGACATCCCTGTACGGCTAACGATGACATCGCAATCCGAGATCATGGTGTTTTAAATTTATATGTTTATTTATTTTATTTAATTTCTTTAGGTGTTGTTTTAAAGATGTTTTCGAATATGCAAGTCCATAACCGTGTTTTAAGATGAAATTTATGTCTTATGAAGAAGTTTAAACATTTATTTCTGCATAGAAATGATTATGCTATGATTATAGTAGCGACTCCCAGTAAAAATCTAAGGTCATTACATTAATGATTATTTTTGCTAAAGTAACCCTTAAACCTTTTGAATTCGAAAGGTAAAAGTTTGGGTAATATTTTGGACCCATTTTTGTAATTTGTAAAATTCCCCCTCCACACTTAAATTCATTTGATTCGACTTGATCCTACAACTTCGTGACGAGAAAAAAAATAATTTTGATGAAAGACTCATTCAATCAAAGAAATCTTCAGCCAAGATTGACTCTGGCGAGGTAAGTATCTTGATCTTGATGTCGAAACTAGGATTGGTTAATTAGAAGTTAGAGGGCTCAATTCTGGAGTCTCGAATCAACAAATGGATTGATTGTTCCGAACTTGCACGGTACCGTGAAAGAATCCATAAGAAAAGGAGTGAAGGATAATTCTAGTTGAGTCTTGACTGACTGTCGGATTATTCTTTTCTTTACTCGACTGTAAAGTCTAAAAAGCTTTAGAGAGTAAACACCAAATTTGAGTTTGATTTTCCATTTTTGAAATCTAGAAAATCGACACTCAAGGTTGTGGTCGGTGAGTTATCTCTATTACTTAAAAATTAAGAGCCAACCTAGAGCTTATTTTAATTTAGGGTACTTCTTGATTACTTTAAAAGAAAATGTTATCCTAAAACTCATCGCCAGATAGCATCTTAATTGCTTAAAAATCAAGAGCCAACTTAGAATTCATCTTGATTTATGGTAGCTTCCTGGTTACTTAAAAACCGAAGGCTATTCTAAAACTTATCATGAGGTAGCATCTGGATTACTTAAAAATCAAGGACGAACTTACAGCTCATCTTAATTTTGGGTAATCTTTTAATTATTTAAAAATAAAAGGTTATTCCTATGTGTGACGTGCAGCTTATAACACACCTTGATCACGATTCTAAATTCACGTTTTTAAAGTGAGCACAAGTCATATTAAATTTCTAGACCAGTTGGAATCATTTACGCATAAATCTTAGGGTTAACCATTAGGAGCATTTTAGTCATTTCTGTTAATCCTTTAACTTATACCCTTAACTTGATTTAGGTTCTAAACTTGATTCAAACGTCTTGAAATTTTAGGTAAACCTTAATATCCTTGTATATGGGTCTTACTTAAGATCTTCAACCGATTGGAGGGTGTTGAACTTTGAAATTTCTTAAAGAAACTTTAGGGACATTTTAGTCATTTACCACCTTAACTTGGTTAAGCCCCAAACATGATTCAATTATTCTAAAACTTTACATAATACATAGAAATCATAAAATAAGACATCTTATAAAGTTTCAAACCATTTGGAGATCATTTGGATTATGAATGGATGGTAAGTTACTTTAGGGTATTACGGTTATTTTATATCATTACTTGTTTAGCAATTTATTATTATCGACCACCAAATTTCAGATATATTCTTAACATGTCATATTAGACTCAGCATTAAAATTTCATAGGCGGGAGAGTTCATTTAGTAGGTTATGTTAATGTTACTTGATTCTCGAGCAAAATGCTCGATTTAGATTCTTAACTTGATTCTTCCATAATTTTTTAAATCTGACCTTACTTAAGGTTCATAATGAAATCCAAGTGATTCTAAGTATTTCATAAGAAAAATTTAGATTGGCTATTTACCTCATTGTTGACATTCGGGACCTCTGTTCTCAAACTTCCGATATATTACTCCAAATTTTCTTTGGTAGGTCAATCTTTGAGTTTAATTCAACAACTATCAAGAATTTTATGAGAGTAGTCTAAAAGGGGATTAAATTTGAGAAAAATGGAGCGACATTATGGTTTAGACTAGCATATTCAGTTCAATCAAATCGACCACATCATCATCTTCTTTCCCAAAATAGGGGAAGAAGTCATAGAGCCAGGTCCATACACCTCTGAACATCGCCTTTAATTGCTCGATGCAACGCATTTCTTCCCTCGCTCACATGTATTATTAATCTTTGAGCTGGATTAATGTTCTAATTATTTACCATGTAATTTTTTCAAAATCATTTTTAAGAATAATTATTAAAATTGAAGGCTAAATAAAGTTAAAAAAAAATATGAAAATTAAATTGTTTGAATGATTTAAAATTAATTTAATACTTAATAAAAATAAAATAACTAAGTATAATTAACTATGTTTAGTTATCTAAAATTAAACAAGATAATATTAACTTTGTATTAAAAGAAGGGTGAAGTTGAGTGCATTTATATTTGTCCCACATCGCAGAATTTTTAGAAGGCAGCTGCGAAGATGGATATAAAAACTATGCCGGCGGCAAAGTGCAACTTACTTACCTGGACGGGGTAAATGGACGGTCATGAAGGTCCATTGCCTGGATTGGTGCCCTCCATTGCACGCGAAGGAGGGGTGCCCGTCCAAGGTCTGCCCGTAGTGGCAGAGCCTACGTCATAATTTGTGGTAGTGGGGGCCTGCGTTCGCGCGGCCCCTTCCAATGCCCTCAGTCCCTACGTATTTCTTTTTACTATGATACAGCTTAAGACGCCTTTGGCAGTCTCCAGTTGGTAGGTGCGGTCGGCACTTATGAGAGAGCGAAGGTTGTTAATGGGAAGACTTAGATCAACCTGTGAACTCTCACAAGTAAGTAGGTTGCTTATTATTGGTCATTTTCATACTCAACTAGCTATTCTTTTTCTAAATGGATAGGAGGGTTTTAAATGCGAGATCTAAAAACATATCTCTCCGTGGCACCGGTAGTAAGTTTATATGGTTCGGGGCTTTAGCGGGTCTATTAATCGAGATCAATCGTTTATTCTCGGATGCATTGGTATTCCCATTTTTTTCATTCTAGTTATTGACTTGGAAAGGGGTGAAGAATATTAGAAAAACAATCAAATATCTGTGACTAATCTCCTTCCCCGTAACAGTCGATGATCGGAGCATTAAGAAGTTATGTTGCTGCAAGGGGCCATATCCCTGTCATTTTCCTATCTTGTATTTGTAAACATTTTCTTTATAACTCCCATGATTTGAAACCTCAAAAAACAGTCATTGCAATACCCTCTTTGGAATAGGAAAAAAATCTTCAATAGAGTATTTTCTAAATCACAGGTACTCGACTCTACAAATTTCTTTTGTTTTAAGTTAGAATAAGTGAAACAATTGAGCCATCTGCTGAAATACATATTGAATTCCGTTGGCAAGGCTGGATCGATTTTGAACCCAAACAACAATAATTTCAAAACAAAGAGGGACCCAAGCTGTATCCATGTATTTGATATTATTATAGACTGTAGCAGGAGCCACAAAGAATGGTCTGATTTATATAAAATAAAAATTGGAGGTTTTGTAATTTTAATTAAATTTAATGCAAAAGATAAGAAGATAAACCAAATAGATTTCAATTAATTTTCTTTATATTCCTTCCTAAATTAATTATTGTGGGTTCGGTAGCCCTTAACAACCCATCTCTTCTAACTTTAGAGAAGCTAATTTTAATTCACCATATGCAATATTAATATTAATATTAAAGCACAACTTTCAACTGCTTTCACCATAATCACCCTACTCATAACTAAGACCATCCTTCAAATGATGCTCATGCCATTAACATATGTCCAACCTAAACCAACTCTAACTCAATAGCAGATACAACCTTTATTATTATTGCAAAAGTCAATTAACCTACTCAACCAAGATCTAACTAAAAATAAATGAAGGAAGAAAGAAGCAGTCATAGAACCATTATCTAAAGGCCGATGTAGATTGACTTACTATCTACTTAAAAACAACACTTTTAAATCTTCATATCGATTTCATAGAAAATCGGGTTTGGTCTAGCATTATGAATCAGGATGATCCTTCAAATGTGGAAGATCATTCTACCGAGTGCATATCATGTTTAGAATCACAAATCTCTACAATGGTATGATATTGTCCACTTTGAGCATAAACTCTCGCAGCTTTACTTTGGTGTCTCATACTAATGGAGATAATATTCCTCACTTATAAACCTATGATTATCTCCTAAATTAGCCTTGTGCTCAAAATGGATAATATCATATCATTGTGGAGAGTCGGTGATTTCTAACATGCATATCAATTATCAAATTAGTAATACCCAATTCTAGAAATCTAAATTCCATCTATAAGACCCATCTAGAAACGATAAAAATGCTAAAACTTGGTATTCATTCCTTGAAAATCTTGGCAGCATCTTAATATATAGTTTGAGCATCTTATAAAGATAAAAGAAGGAATATTTGCCTTTAAACTTCTGACTTTCTGGCCTTCTCTTCTGCATAATAATTTCTCTAAACAGTCTCAAGAAATGTAATCAGGTATTTTTCAGAACTAAAACTAACATAAAACTAATCACAAATTCACAAAAAAACAGAACAAACCTCTTACAAATATGAAGATTCAAAATCTTCATCCACCATAGCCAAGTTCAGATGAACACAGAATATGATTATATAATCTCAGAACTTTCAGCTACATTCATGAATGGAAACAAAGTGATGAACAAAATAATACAGGAGAATGATGATGATGATAAATGGGTTCAGTTAAAACTATGGTATAAACACATTGTAAATGAGGGGTTTTATTATAAGTTATTTTTTACAATTATTCTACCAAATTGACCAAAGGGGGTGGCACTAAGTACACTATGAACCACAGATCAAACATGTTTCAAGAACTAAAAGGAGAGAAGAGAAAGCCAAACCTCTTACAAATTGCCAGTTCTTCAAGACTCAGAGCTAGCTTCCTCAAATCAGCCTCCCATGGATCTCAAGTCTTCTAATGCCGTTTTAATTTGTTCCTGAACCAACTCCAATCTCTTGGAATAAACCTCCAATTCCATAATCTGCTGTTTCCTCCACCTCTCATCCGCCATGTCTCCTCCACCGAAGCTCAATGGAATTGGATGCAAGGCCAGCCCACTGAACCCTCTGCTTCCACAGAGCCCTCCTCCTCCCATGGAATTGCTCAACAATTCCTTGAACAATGGCGACAGGCAGCTCCTCACCGTTTCCTCGATCAATCCTCCTACACCTACGTGATTGACATTTTCGTTGTTGTTGTTGTTGTTGTAGGTGCTGTTTTTCTCTTTATTCAACTCATTGGACGAACGCGGCGGCCCGTCCATTCTTAATCCCGATCCAGGCCGTGAACGCTTCCGCGATTTCGGAATCGGCGTCGGTTTCTTTTCGGAGAAATTCGCCATCATCTCTTCGTTTCTAGCGTCCATGTAGCTAGCATACGGAGTCGGAGCAGGCTCCTCGTCGTCCAAAGCGTTGTCATCGACTCCAATTCGGCCGGTATTGCTCCAGATCTTGCGAGAGATCTCAAAGGTAGCTTGATCGTGAGGGCTTTTGAAATTGAATTCCTTACCAGAGCTAATCTTACCAATAACGTTACGGTATTTCTTCTTCAACCTCCGTAGCTTTTCCACGAGTTGATTCTTGTTAAAATCCAACTGTAATTTCGACTTGATCTGGTCGTAGAACAAAGCCGTATCGTTCTGATGATGATGAGTCGTACCACGCTGCATCGTGTAATCCAAAAACCCCTGCAGAAGCTCGATCTCATCCTCATCTGTCCAAAGGCGTTGAAACAACTTCCTGGACTCATCCAAGGGCTTCTTCTCGCACTGCAAGGTCAAAGGCTCTGCAGAAGCGGTCTCGAGGCGCTGGCGGATCAGATCGGAGGAGGAGATGGAGACAATCGAAGGAGGAGGAACAACGGGGACCGGACGGTCGATGGTTCCGGGAGTGGCGATGGTAACGACGGCGGAGACGGAAGGGACTGCAACAGCGCCGGCGGAGGAAGTTGAAGGAGAAGGATCATCGTTCAATTCCTCCTCTTCGTCGTCGTCGTCGTCCTCGAGGGATTCCTCGTCGTCCTCGAGGTCTTCGTCGGGGAAAACGGCGTCGTTGCGAGGATCCATTGAGGAGAGAGGAGAGAGGAGAGAGAGAGAGAGAGAGAGAGAGAGACGGAACAGTTAACAATGGTGGAAAAGGGTGGGTGGTTTGGGTTTGGGGTTCACGTGGTTTGATTGAATTTTGGTGTGTATTGGGTTTGGCGTGTGAGAATGGGTTCGGTGGACTTCAAAGCCGCCTAACTTTCTAACCCCCACGCGCTTATCTTGTGAGTGTTTCTCAATTTACCTTTTTTCTTCCCTTTCCCCAAATAATCCCAAACATTTCCTCTCCCAATTTATACTCTTTGTTTTATTTGAACAATATTAGTTGAATTAGAGTCCATGTTAGAGATGGTAGGACTCGCAATACTCGATCCCATCTGTCACGTTCGAGAAGTTTCGCGTTGTTCTTTCCACCGTCACACACCTTATACGTATCTTACTTTCCTAAAATGATCTTCATTTCTATGTAAGAGGATAGGGATGTTCATACGACCCAATAACTCGACCAACCAAGACTACCCATAGTTATAAACATTAGTTTTGGTTACATTTTTTTTCCATTTGAGTGAGGTTGTATTCTTTGTAAACCCAAATTTTGGGTTGATTCCCGGGTTAAAAAAAGCTTGGCAACCCAACTTAACCCATTTCGAAAATAAAAGGTTTGGTTGGATTAGGTTTGTTCGGGTCACCACCCCAACCAACTTAAAATTATGGGTTAATTCAAAATATTTTCTCAACCCAATCCAACCGTATATGCACCTTTAGTAAAGAAAGTGGTGCGAACGTTCGGAAAAATAATAAGATTGAGGAGCAAGGTCACGAACCAGCTAAGAATACCATAATGACAATCACACAAAGATTTCATTCTTTAGTCCTCTTAAGCTACAAGATTTTTTTTTTTTTTTTTTTTTTTTTTTTTTTTTTTTTTTTTTTTTTTTTTTTTTTTTTTTTTGACAATAGAGGAATTTTGACAACAGAACAATGATGGGTTCATGGATTCGATCAGACCGAAGGAAATTCAATCAGGCGAGAGGCAGACCATGTTGGCTTGATCCATGTCCCATCCGTCCACGCTCATGTGTGCGCCTATCTGCCTAAGTCCCACGCGGCCACCAAACCCCATGCGCACACAGGGCCCACGAGGCAAGCCCAGCAAATGACCATACAGAGGCTGCGTCCACAACTCACTCGTGTGTCGCCCCCACAGGCCAACCAATCAAGGGGTTATCGGTAAACAACAACTCAACCCACGTTTAGTGTCACAACAATATTATTAAAGGAGTAGTTGTGACTTTCACGTCAGACAATCAAAATAACAACTCTCAAGTGGCACCCATCAAGCTACGTGAGTCCTTAGACGAGTGTTATGATGCAACTGAGGTGGACGGTGCATCATCCAACACACCATATAAAATGGGTATTGAAGAGAAAATGAGGCATAAGTGAGATAAGGGCAACGAGTAGACAAGAGTGTCAAAGATAGGCTTGTTAAAGGGCCGGATAGGGTCCCGGGCCTTAACTTCGAAAGTCGAGGTTCTAAAAGGAATTTGGACATGCAGCTTCGGAGTTAAGTTTGTCCATATGAAATATGAAAAACTTGCAAAATTTGATGTAAAAGGATAACGAACAGACTCTCCACGCACCATATGACCGTTCGCCAAAATCATTATACACCTGAAAAACCAAAAATACCTCAAAATTACGTTAGGGGAGGCATGATGTCAGTTCTCCACCACTTCTGGGTCTTGTGGCCTAAGCGAGATAGCCTGTGACACATGCGTGTGTCACAGTGAGGATGATCGTTACCATGCGAGTGTTTCAAGCAACTCCCTTTAAAATGGGTCTTTTAAGGATGGTGTCGGATGGCACGGATGTGTCAACATTGCATCTGCCCATGTGTCGGAGGTTGAATTATGCACCCATTGTCTAAAATGGATTCCGTAAATGAACTAGAATACTCGAGAGGGTCCAATGCCTTAATAGAATCTTGATGAATGGATGTTCGGGATGTCCTGATTTATGAACGACACATGAGTATGTTCTCGATGGGCAAGATCGAGCAAGATATGATGGCTGATGATATCGCGGGACTTGGGACATCATGACATGAAGGCTATGTCAATTGGAAACCAAGATGTGTTGCACATGAGAGAGCTTGACCTTGAGTCGAGGCAAAGTCGAGCTAAATGGCTTGGCCTAAGGTTCGACGAAAGCCAAAAGACGAGCGAAAAATGATTATGGGGTTTTGGGTTCCCCTCATTGCTTGTCATGAACATGTCATATGATTGAAAGTGTACGACCGTGACACTTGCAGACCTGCCTATCACTAGGTCGTGCACACGCATTGATCAAGAAGCTCTCCGCCCAAGGCCTTTATGCCACACGTTGATGGCCCAATAACATTTCCTTCTCCTTGAACCAATTGAAAGCTGTAGAATTAATAATTTTAAAGGAAGGTTTGTTAGACTCCTACGCTAATATGAACTTAAGTTGAATGAAAATTAAGTTGTCCCTTTTTCAAGCCTTGTGTAATAACAGTTAAAAGAAATCATAAAATAAAATTATTAAAAATATTAAAAAATAAAATATTTAAATTAAATAATTAATACTCAATCAAAATGAACATATTAGACTCGAGGGTCGATCCTTGCTGTCATTTTCTTTTAATTGATATTATCAAGGTGATGGATTTGAGGTTGAAATTGGATATTGAGAAGCACATTCAAGCGAGTGCAAAGAATTGTATGATGTATGATGTATGATGTTGTATGCCCCTACATGCGTCATAATGTTATGCTACGTGATGACATATAATGCCATGTTATATATTTATGTGATGTCCTGTTATGCCATGATATTAATGAAATGAAAAACCATGTACACAAACCCACCTAGTGGGTCCATGCGCGCGTGCATGGAACGTGTATGGGGAAGTACCACGCATCCAACTCTACCCGGAACTAAAAAGAGCTCAAAGCTATATTATGTTGTTTTAGAGGATAGATAGATTACTAAAATGTCCCTACAATTTGAGATAATGATGAAAATATCACTATTGAGAAAAATCATATACACTATGGTAACCACCGGAAGAAAATTACAAAATCTTGAAATCCAACTATTGGATCTTCTCCAAAATTAGATATCCTCTAGAAGACATAGAGAAGATTTTTCGGTAGAAAATTCAAAAAAATTATCTAAAATTATAGCGGTTTTAGATGTTTCAAGGTCGTTGGAGGCTCCCTCTAAATGAAGTGTGGACTACCATTTGTAGCAAGAATCAAACAATGTGAGCCTTCAATTAAGAGTTCTAGCCTT